ATACTTACATTCTCATTTAAAATTGTGAGGGAATTTAGTTGAATTGGTATGACTGTGTGTAACCATTAAACTTCGTTATAATACTCCATGTCATTCACATTATCTGGTTCTCTGGGCCTTAACATTCTTTACATATTTTTCCTATAGTATGTAGAGCAACAGTTGATAGAGCATATCGTGTTCAAAACCAGGTAATTTTTGATGAATTACAGTGACTTCATGTAGCTCAGGTTTTTTAGTGGTTTATTTTCAAAAGGATACTAAATAATATATGCAAAAACAATATTATGTTTCATACAGAAACTTAAAAGGTGTCTTTAAAAAATCACATTTAAATGCATTTAGCAATCTTTTGATAATGTGGTAACATTCTGTGACATAATGTTTCATAACATGTTAACCATTTACAACTTGGAATTGAGTCAGTTTTTTCAAAACTAAGAAGACATTTAAAAATACCATTTCCCCTTTGAAGAATTGATGCCACATTAACTTTTCTCTATTGCTGCGAGCATGCGGTCGGGGTAGGAGAGGAGTGAACATGAGAATGTGGCCTAGTCTGTCTGAGATGAAAAATTCTGTAGGTATTTTTCAGGGAGGTAACAGCTCCCCACTACCTACTTCTGAGGAGCTTAAAAACACAGTTGCAACCACACTCACAACATAAAAATATCACCCAAAACAAATGAGAGCATTTATTTGGGGCTTTGGATCTAATGCAGCTCATTTGTGTGAAGTCGACCAATGGTTTCATGTGAACTCTTTCATTATCAGCAGGAAATTGACAATGAAGATCATGTTAATCACCTTGGTCATGATTTCCTGTGTGTCAGTATGCTGTTGCCAAAAATAGAAGACTGAATACCACATGGCAATTGTAGCTAAACGATCCACCCAGGAGATTATTTTTTCTAAGTCTCTTTAGAATCTGTTAGATTTCAATGTCTTAACATCAGATAGACTAATACGTATTACTGTACAATTTGACATTCATATTGGTGAGAAGCACTAAGAGGAAAGAAGACTATCTTATATTTAGTACCCTACATAAAATTTATAGTCTACAGGTTTTTAACCATGGGAATTTTTGCTTAATGTCTCAATTGTGTCCTTAATTGCATTATTCAAATTTTCTCAATGTAAAAAAAAAATGCCAGTTTTCTTGTGCACCAATATTGTGTACCCCAATTACCTAATGTTTAATTTTACATAGATATCCTGCTTATGTACATCTAAAACAATTCAACTTGGAAAGACAGGAAAATACTAAACCCTATTTAATGAATGTCATTTATCTCTACCACTTATAGTTTTCATTACATTCTACATAGATTATCAAATACAATCTCAATATAGACTAAAATAAATGACATTGGTATACTCACTTGGTTTTAAATCACAGAATTTGGCCAAAGTTAATTACTTTTTAAAGATTTACTCTCTTATTTCTCTCTCTCTCTCTCTCTCTCTCTCTCTCTCTCTCTCTGTGTGTGTGTGTGTGTGTGTGTGTGTGTGTGTGTGTTTATGTGTAGCATGTGCATGTAGATTACTGGGGAGGCCAGAAGAAGGCATCAGATCCCTTGATACTGGAGTTATAGATGATTGTGAGCCTTTGATACAGGTTCTGAGAACCAGACATGTGTAGGAGCAGTAAAGAAGTTAAGCAATTGATCTTCTGTGTAGCTCCCATTCTCTCATTTCCTAGAGGAATTATTATTCCAGTGTATTGTTTCTAGTTTCCTCAGAGTTTTGTGCATTACATATTGTGTATCCTTTTAAGGTATGGTGAGATTTTTGTATATGAAGTTGAGATTTTTTTTATAAATGATGCCAGAAGTTAGACAGATTTACTAATACTAAACTTTAGCATTCTTTCCTAAATTTCTGTTGTCACCCAACTTTTACATTTTTAAAATACAACCACATTAATAGGTGAGAGAGTAAGTTTCATGTATTTCTATCACTTATAGTATTCCTTTGTATGATATGAGAATTTGGACAAATGTGTGCATATTTATAGGATGTAGTAGTCATCAGAAAATATCCTTAATTCTAACACCAAATGCATAGTTGTTAGTTTTGCATTGACATCCCACATATGATAAATAGCTTGAAGGACTCATTAAAAGTTGGTATATAATGGTTTTATTTATTAGAGGGAATGGATATAGAATTAAACTATTCAAGGTTTATAGGGCAGAACCCTGAGGGATTTCAAATGTATACTTTTTAGCATGTTTCCTCACAGAAGAATCAGAGCACTCTGCCTTTCCAAATGCAGGTATATGACCAGCATGTATGACCAACCGAGAAAACATTCAACTTTTTTTTAAATTGTTGCGTCAACATTTAGACATAATTTCATTTGGAGCTGAGGTCAGTGCCCACCCCATTTGGAGTTTAGTTGGTATTTATCAAATGACCAAAGCTCTCACCCCTAACCAAACTGTAGATCTGGCCACCCCCCCATCCTAAAACTATCTGGTCCTCCTGGCCCTCACCCAAAATCCATTTCTTAAGGCTGTCTGTTGAACCAGTGTCTCTAGGCTAACAAAAACAATCATTTCAGGCATGACATTTAGCGGGTATAGAGATCATCTCCCAGAAGCTGGGGACAATGATTAGATCTTAGATCTCCTTTGGTTAAACTAAACTTCTTTATTGTGTATATAAATGGCCATTTATTTTTTAAAACTCCTCTAGATATTTTGATTTTATGTTGGTACATAAAAGCACCATTTTAAGAATGAACATATAATATATTTGTAATTCTGTATATTATAAAATTCATAACTTCTTTACCAACATTATTTTGTTTATTCTTCAAAAGAACCCTATGTGAATAAGTGGTATTATAAGGCTGCTGAGGGAAATTAGATACAGTGGAACTGATTATGTGGTTTCCATGGTCACACAGCTAGTATGTGGCATAGTTGGCATAAGAACTCAGGCAGTCAAAATTCTTCCTTAACCATGATGCCTAAAATGTGTACAGGAAGAAAGAAAAAGTTGCATACATCTTCCGTATGTATAGCAGGGATTACCTAAAATGTCTAAACAGCAATGGGGTTTGCTGCTTTGAAAATATATATGCATTTTAAGATTATTGTAACAAATTGTTACCCAAACTGAAAGATTTAATAACTACTAATGTATCTGTACATTTCTTTGTATCTGTGGCTTACCACTTTTTTAAAAAACTTTCTTGTCTACATTTTTAAATGTTTAAAGTTATTCTATTTTCTCAATTTTATGATGAGTTTTAGTTTCTCTTTCCTGGCTTCATATCTTTCTTTGTTCTCTTCTAGTTTTGCTTTTCATACTTAACACCCATTCTCTTCCTGAAATTGATTTTGAACACAGTACGAATCAGAGATGATTTTTCTGATAAATAGAACCTGCTGTCCCCAAGTCTTTTTTGTCATAGCCCATTCTTTACACTGATTCATAGTACTGCTTCTTTCATAAACATTTCTATGTGTGCATATATCTTTCTGTTAATTTCCTATTTCTGCTCTAACCAACTCAGTAGGATAAAACAGCACAAATTTATTATCTTACATTCCTGGAGGTCAGCAGTCTGAAAGAGACCAGCAGGACTGCATTCCTTCTTGGGGCAAGAAGGAAGGCTCTGTTCCTTTCCTTTTCTAGTTTAAAAGGGAAAACTGCATTCTTTGGCATGTGGCCACCTCATACAAACAGCATCACTTTGACCTCTGTGCACATCTGCACATCTCTGTTTCTGACTTTAACCTTCCTGTTGCTTCTTTTGAAGACCCCTGTAATTGTGTTGTGCTCACCAGGGTTATCTGATGGTAGGCACCTTAATGTAATATACTTGTGAAGTCCTTCACTATGCCAGTGTAACATGTCTCTATTATCTCTGAGATTAGGGGTAGACATCTGCTTGTCTGACTATTCAGCCTGCCATAATTACCTTTCTGATATCTCATTGTTCTTTTTCACATTTTTGATTAATGCATTTTAAGCATACCTATAACCTCTACCTAATAATTCTATCTGAATAAGGTTTTATGGGTTTAACCCTGCTGTTTAGTTGCGTCTGCTAATTCTAACTCGAGGCTTGATATGTTTCTGTGTAAGTTTAGGTTTTTAAATCATCATTGTGAGACTCTAACCTGTGAAAGTTAATATGGCCCTAGTTAAAGATCAGAATCATCATCTACCCAGAGCCACTTTTCTTGATATTTCCTTGGTAATGGGTGTTTTGGATCATTTAATGGTGTAATCTCAAATTTTTGATGTTAGTGAAAGTGGAAGCTTGGTTTTGAGTACAGAGGTATAAACATCGTCCACCCTGAGCTTCAAAGCAAATCATCATACTGTCACCCCACCACACCCCTTGTGCGCCTCGAATAATGAGTGTGTTTCTTTCCTAGATGATTTTCCTTAAGCATAGTCCCTTAAATAATCAGATGCCATGAAAGATGATTTCCTTTTCTGCTCAGATCAGAAGGCTTGTTCTCCCTAGATGGGTGTTAAATCTCTAGTACATAGGTGACTAACACAAGCAAACTGCTTACAACTTCTCTGTTAACTCACGCCATGTTCTAAGTTTTCAGTTCCTAGTTAGTCTTGGCTCCTGGAGGTTTTGCTTACCTCCATGGTAAGTGATCTCTCCAAAAATCCCCTGAAGTCTTTTGGCTCCGTCCTTCTTTCCCCTTCTCTGCTGTTTTGATTATCCAGTATTTGTGCTTTAGGACCCTTAGGAATGCAGGAGCTGATTTTAAGGGGACATTCAACTCTTTGCTCAGGGGCGCAATTTTAGATACCAGTATTATATTATTAATCACAATCCCTTTGTTGCATAAAGGAATTGCTAATATTACATCTGAGAAATTTAAAAATGGATAGTGAAAATTATATATTATCAGATTTCTTTTTTGTAGTACCAATAACTATGTATAAGATAACTAAATATTGTTACCTTAATTTTCAACTCAATAATCCTAATTCTCATTTTTCTGTTCTCTTTCTAGAATGTGTGCTGTGTTTGGTGGAATCTATTGCCTTCGCCATTCTGTACAATGCCTTGTAGTGGACAAAGAATCCAGAAAGTAAGGGTGCTATGAATAACCTTCCTATATTTATACACCAGACATGGGTGAAAACATAGAAGTTACTTTTTAGAAAGTGGTTCTTGAGTGATCCTCCTTGGTATTAATAACATATCAACCTTGATTAAAAGTAATTTGTGTTTAGGTCTTCCAGAACAAGGAAAGTGAGTTCAGAATATAGAAACTAAATTAAGTTCCCTGCAATATGACTGTAGCTCCTGATCATTCAAGCTTGGAAGACAAATCATTTCAGCTGCCGGGGGTAGGTGATGAGTGATGTTAGTTTTCCTTGTGGCCTTACCTCCTCTAATTGATTTTCATCAGATGACAACAAAGCCCTCTGTTATTGCATTTTTAAAAATGGAGCTCACCTAAAGACTCATCAGATTAATCTCTGCTGATAATGCATGTCACTTCAAGAGAAAAGACTTTAATGAGTTTTTAGGTAGATTGTTGTCATAAACTATGCTGCCCTGTTATCTGAGAATAAATTCTTTTACAGCAGAATCAGGCCTACAGGCTTGTAGAAGATAAAGGTACAAATTTACCTGCTTTCTTACAATAGCAGAGCACTATCTACCTCCACTTTGTATTTTAATTATTTTTTAGGGTTATTATTACTTACTAATGTATACTCTTATCTGAATTAAGTTCAGTAAAATGCCATTTGTACAATTTCTAAGTTTTACCCTGAAAAAGAAATAGTTCAACTGGATGAAGTTTTAAGAGCTGTTGAAATTAAAATTTCTCCTCTTTCTTAGAGGTTCTCAAGTATCCATTGACCTGTATTTCATAGATGACTATTTTAGGAGTGTATTAAAAATAGTGTTGTTGAAATTATCAAGTGCCATAATATTTGTAACTAGAATCTTACACAGCTTGTTTCTTTATGCAGTAATTGTGTGTAGTCTAAAATGGAATAAACTGGCCATTAATTTCTCATAGGTGAGTTACAGGGTTATAAGCAGTTAATTTAGCTAAGATTTAGTGCTAGTTATAGGTAATACATAGTAAATTTGCAGTTCTGTGATGTAAAAATTGACACATGACCTAAGATTCTTACAGAGTAACTTTTGCAACTGAATAGCATCATACTAAGTAAATGACAGAAATGATAATATAGAATGGACTATCCCAAAGGCTCAGAATATTCAGATTTTGATTCATGAAGAACTCTGTAAGTTCATAAAGGAGTAGTTTTTATTCCTGCCAGCTTGTTTTTCCTTTTACAGTCATTTTGAAACAAGAATGCTTTCCTGTGACAGAAAGCAGATAATGAATTGCTGTTTGGTGTTTATTTGCTTAGGTCATTTTTATACTATTTGGGCACCATTCCAGTACCACGTGTTGGTCTCAGTGACTAGTCTTATTGACATGAAAAATTTGCATGGCTCATATTTCTTGTTGGTGATTTCTTCCTTCCTTCCTTTCTTTCTTTCTTTCTTTCTTTCTTTCTTTCTTTCTTTCTTTCTTCCTTTCTTCCTTTCTGTGTGCTAGTACAGTAATACAATTTGCCAAAAAAAGACTATATTTACCTTATATCTGACTTATATTTTTATGAAATATTCTGAACGAAGTATCTACTTTTATGAACTTATACCGATTCTGGTTGGAACATATGGGTGAGGACTAATGGTCTTAGAAACCATATACACCTCCAGACTGGTAAATTTAAAACTCTAAATTGACAAAGAAAACTGAATTGAGTAAATATTCTTTTTTAAAGATTAATTTATTTATTATGTATACAGTATTCTGTGTGCAGGCCAGAAGAGGGCACCAGATCTCATTACAGATGGTTGTGAGCCACCATGTGGTTGCTGGGAATTGAACTCAAGAACTCTGAAAGAGCTGCCAATGCTCTTAACCTCTAAGCCACCTCTCCAGCCTAAGTAAATATTCTTTTAGACACTACCAGAATTAAGTTTCTGTTGGGTTGGTTTGTTTGGTATTTTGAGACAGGTTCTTACTGTGTACTCCAGGATTACAGGTTTTTGTTACCACTTTTCAATGGGAAACTATAGTTATGAGCAACACCTCAGAGAATCTAATATAAACTGTTCTTAGATGACACTGAGAAAGAGTGACCATTTCTGTAATGTTAATTTAAAGATTTAGGCAAGAGTACTGTGTTCTGTGATGAACTTGGGGAATGAGAGTGGCTTTTAAATCATATCAATGCTGTGAATGACAGCAAGTCCTGTTTTGGGCTAATTCCTTCATCTGTAAGATAGTTTAGAAGAACTCAGCAGTAATCACTGAGTCTTATTCCAGATTGTACCTGATGCTTTAGTTACATTAGATGATATTGGAAAGTACTTAGATTGCTCTTCCTTAACATTTAGAAATAAATGATCTTAAAAATAGTTCATATGCCTAAATGTGGGCCAGTAGTCAAATTATTCAGTAATGAGAAATCATTAAAAAATCGAGCAGTTTATGTCTATTTTTGTAAACAAAAATAGCATGGTATCTATTTTGTTCTGTGATATTTGCTTAATCCCCAGTTTATCAATGGACATCATTTTCTTATCTATTGGTGTTTTTGTTTGCTTGTTTGATTCATTGTTTTTTTGTGTGGTTTTTTTGTTTGTTTGTTTTTTTTTTGAGGCATTTTTTTTGTATAGTCCTAGCTGTCCTGGAACTTGCTCTGTAGACCACACTGGTCTTAAACTCACAGATATCTGCCTGCCTCTGCCTCCTGTGTTCTGGGATTAAAGTTGTGTTCCACCACTGCCCAGCTCTTTCTTGTTTTTTTGTTTTTTGTTTGTTTTTGTTTTTATACAACCTTTTTAGATATGGCATGTAATTCTCTTACTGAAACATTTACTCCTTCCGAGCTTTAACAATTTATCCCATAATAATAGTTTAGTCAATCTTGGCTTGGAGTGATTTGATTCCTGTTGTTTCTTGTCACTTCACCATGTGACTTATTTAAGTGATCTTTAAAATTCTTCATTAGGAAAAATTAAAATAAAAGCATTAGTGTTTTAAAATTAAAAGTGTATACCTCAGATAACAATGACCAAGTTTATGTATATCAAAAGCTAATTTTAATTTAAGTTGGTTTCAGGCTAATGTATCTTTCTCAAACATTGTTCTCATTTAAGATCTACTATTTTAGAGAAAAGCCAGTAATATAGGAGCTATATTGTGAAGACCTAAAAGTACAGAATAATTTTGTTTAAAATCCTGATCTCATAGTTGAGTATATCCAATATTTGCTTCTTTTTTAAGGACTCTAAGGTGACTTAGAAAATTGTTTGTTGTAATTCTAATCTTAACCAAGCAACCTGCAAAGGTTTGCATTTGTATTCTTTTAATTTGCCTCTCTTGCTACATGGAACATTGGCATTATTTCTCCCATTTAGTGTAGTTACAACTTGTTCATTCTTCAGGTCAGAGTCCTTAAATCTCAGACACTAGATGAGACCTCCTTGCTAGTCCCTAAGTCAGGTTCCCTAGTGCAATTATTTGATAAATTCTTTGTAGGAAATGCAAGATCTTGCTAAAATATCTTCATAAATAAGGCATGTCTGTATCACTCATTATCCTCAGTTACCCTCTAATAAGTTAATTAGAGTGCCTTTGGCTTTGTGTGTGTGCTTTGCTTTTTACCTGCTGTTTAAGAAAGTTGACAGAAACATATATGACCACAGCATTGAGGTTGATGTCCTTTTTACACATTGAAGTAGGAAATAACGTTGAGAAAGGAGGCAATGATATTATATTATATGAAACATGTGACCAACTACATCCCTACTTTTGCCTAGAACTTATTTTTTTCATTTTTGCTTAATTTGCTTTGCCTATGCTGTGTGTGACCTAGACTCTCCATAGTATGTTACTACCCAATAGCATGGCTTACTAAATTATCTCCTAATGTTTTTCCCCCAAATTCTAACACTCTACCCTCTGATTGGGTTGTTGCAGATTTTTGGGGGGGAGTTGTTTGTTCATTTATTTGGAAACACTGAAAGCTCTTCTTGAGTAGCTTTCTTTTCTTTTGTAGTTGACTAGTAAAATTCAGATAAATTAAGTTTGGCTCTTTAGTAGTACAGTATTTAACATTTGGGTGTGGTAGCTACGAGTTTGGACTAGTGGTCTGTAAAAAAAATAGTCCTTGTGTTCATCTTCTATGTATACTTTAGCTGTTTGGCCTACTAGATTTGCTGTTAGGACATTTTAGAAGTATTTTTTTTCTGTTTACCTTCCTTGTGTATTTGGATGTTAATAATAGTTTGGTAGGCTGAAAATAATATTCCATTACTTTCATCATTACTGAAGTTCTGATTATAGTATATGCCCTTTACCAACTCCCCATTCTAATTGCTATGCTGTAATGTGATTGTTTTTAAAAAAAAAGGGAAATAAAATATAGATCTGGTGTGTGGTGGTGTCTTATTTGTACTCTAACAAATTAAGCTTGCCTTAAGATCAGAGGACAGAGCTAGCTACTAATTAAACACAGAAGTCTGGAGGTCTGTATAGACACACATGGCTGGGGAAAGAAAGGAATATAAGACAGGAAGAGACAGTAGCTTGGTGTCTTTTCAGCTGAGAAGTTGCTGAGGTAAAGTGTAGCTGTGGTTTGCTCCTTTGTCTTTCTGGTCTTCCAGCATTTGCCCCTGTATCTGACTCGGTACTTATATTTTTAAGACCAATTAGAAGTGCTATACTTGTATCTGTGTATTGGGATTTAAGGGAACAGTGCAGCCTTCAATGTCACATAAACTGTATTTGAATTCTGACATTGCCATTTCTAACTTATGTAAAATTAAGCAGGATGTGTAACTCCTCTGTGCCCTAGTGTTATTATAAAAAAAGTGGAGTGCCTGACAAACCATACCTTGTAGGGTTCTTGTAATATTACCAGAGCAGATAAACCTCATAAAATCATTGGTTACACATACAAGTAGTTCAGTACACATTAGTAGTGCATGTAATTGGAAACGTAGGCATGCCCTAAAGGAAGAAGGCCTGTTGTGTTCCACCCTTTG